AGAAGATCTATATACGTATACCTTATGGAAGCCTTATAGAAGCCCTATATACCCTAAACTCCCCACCTGTAGTTTCCTTCAACTAATCCTAAATTCGCACCGCCCGGAAGGTTTGGGGCCCCAACCTCAAAGAGGAGATGTCGGGCCCCCGGTTGAGTGTTTTTTTTGGGGGGGATTCTGCGGTTTCGGCCTAAGGTTCCCCTTTTTTTTTTGGGAGGGGGGGGGGNNGGGTTTAGGGCTTCGGATTTGGGGTTGAGGTACTTGTTTTGGGTTTTGCAGAGAGATCTTCAGGTTTAGACTTGCAAGGGTTGCTTTGGAGGTTCGTGGGTTTAGGGTTTAGGGTTTAGGATTTGGGGTTATAAGTAGGGCAACAGCACTTATAACCCATACCGGGGGACTTATAGCCCTGCTTATAACTACTCATGAACCTCCAAGTAATTAGAGCTTTAGTAGTTGCACGGTTTCATGGTGAAAGGGCCTCTTTTGGGTGAGCGGGCTTGGGGGTTCAGAGTCATAAGGCCAAGGGATTGGGGCTATAGGGTTCTAGTTTGAAGGAGGACTTTGGGAAGTACGGTCTGGGAGGGGGGGGGGGGTTATGGGTTAGAGTGTTAAGATTCTCAGGTTATCTTTGATCATGAGCGCTACAGTCTTTGGGAGTTTTAAGTTAGAGGGCCTCGCTTCTTTGGAGTCATAGGGTTATGAAGTTTTGGGCGTAGGCGTATGATGTAGCATGCTGCGGGGTTTGGGAGATACTATTTGCAGGGTTTTTAGTTTTATAGAGTTGTAAGCCCGAAACCCTAAACCCTAAAGAACTGTAGGGTTTGGCAGTTTAGGGTTACAGGGTTTAGGATTTATCTCAACTCTATCCCCAAGATGTATACGAACACCCAAAAAAATGTTAGAAAAACGGATTCAGGACCATCAGTGCTGGGATTCCCTGTGCAGTACTCCGGAGGGATAGAGGCTATTGGGTTTCCCACTTTTTTCTTTTTTTTTTGGGGGGGGGAGGGGGGGTTACTCTCTAGCCCTCTAGAAGTCCCTGAAGCCCTGAACCCCTGAAGGCTGACCCCCAATAGGGTCCCAGTTTAGGGTTTAGGGGGGTGTAGGGTTTTTGGAGGGTCCAGGGTTTAATTTAGGGTTTTAGGGTTTTACGCCAAAAAGTTACCCCCAAAAAGGAACTACAATGGAGACTATAGGTAGGTTTTTGGGGATCGAGGCTTTGCAACCCGGATATTTTTGTGTCAGGTGTAAACCCTAAACCCTAAACCCTAAACCCCTTGAAGTTGCGAAGTTGCTTCCGCCATCGAACCCACTTCTCCCAAGACGGTGCTAGTAACCCCAGCTCCAAGTCCGTCACGAAACAGGAAGGAATTCCGTGTTGAGGGTCTAGGCTCTAGCGTTTTGTGATAGAGGCTATATATATATATACATACATATATATATATATATGATTGTCTTAAGTTTCAGACGCCCTGTCCCCAGCTATCGAAAGCAACCGCCCAGACGTAATTTGTGCACTGCGGCGGAGAACTACTCCTGCGTCGCGATAGAGGCAGGATCTTTGATGTTCCCACTGCATGCTGAAAAGCCTTGAGGGTTATGTTCCGTACCCTAAGGCTCGATCCATGTACCTTCTGGTATATGCTTAGGCCGTAAAGTGCCTTTAAGGTCTAAATATAAACTACATGGTTCTACATGGGTACATGGAGCTTCAGGGCTATTTTACTCCCCTGAAGCAAGTTGACATATCTTCTTCGACTTTTGCAACCATGAACCTGAAACCCGAACCCCAAATGTAGGTCCCAAAGGGTCCCGGTGTAATGTACATTATGGGGAATACTTCCCTACATCATAATAGTACTTCCTAGTACAGAGCCCCTACAGTCTACATAGGACCCTTTGGGGGTGTTGCCATGTATGTTGAGGATCAGACCAGGTCCGTCAAAAGCAGATTCCGGACAGAAAGAGCTAGAGCAGCATGAACGAAAGCCTACGCCCTAAACCCTAAAGCCTAAATCCTCAACCCTAAACCCTAAAACCGCCCTAAACCCTAAATCCTAAACCCTAAAACCCTCAACCCTCAACCCTAACCCCCCTCCCTAAGTTAGGGCCTTTTTGGGGGTTTAAGGGAGCCCCCATCTTGGCGGATCGAGAGGCGCTTGTTCCGGGAGTCATCGCCTCTCCAGCAGGGCCTTTCGGCCCCCCGGCTCAGTCATACTTTGTGGGTTTAGGGTTTATATAGGGTGTTTTGAGGGTTTAGGGTTTATATAGGGTCTTTTGAGGGTTTAGGGTTTATATAGGGTCTTATGCGTTTTGAAGAGTTCCAACCTTTGCAGGGGCACTCAGCTGTGAACCTCCAGAAGATCAGCTTGCGAAGCAAAAAGTTCTTGGCCATGGGATGCATCAACAGTTTGCCGCAGCCCTGGCAAGAAGATTGACACAGTAGTGTGCCAGCACAGGTGTCTGATAGAGTCAATCTTTCCTCAATGCAGGGCAGTGTGGGCAATGGTGGATATCAGGCGCAGTCTGGTACTCCGGACCTGATCAGTGGCAGTATTGACAAGATTGACATCTTGATGAACTCTTCTGACTTCTCTGCATGGATATCATCCGCACCCACTCACCATCTTGAAAGAGCCCATGAGATGGCAGAGGAGAAAGTCAACGAGTTGATCCGCAAAAAGATGGAGTTGAAGTCCGAACTCTCGAAGCGGGAGTCACTGAATGCGGCCTGGACAGCACCAAACCAAATCGACCAGAGTTGGAGAAGACTCTCGACAAGAAATGCGCGGACAAGGGCCAGACGGATTGGAACATAGATGAAAGAGCATGCCTTGCTTGTGACATCTCAGGTGACCACGTTCTTTGGCCTTGCAGCATAAAGAAAAAGAACAACATTGTTCGTGTCAGAGTCATTGAAGGGGGAAAGGTGAAGATGCAGGACTGCCCCGAGGGTTTTGTTTCCCCTCTTGAACAAGATGTCCAAACAGAACCTGACCAAGAAGACCCATCCAAGTTTGTCCATCTTGTGAAATTCAAGGTCACTCTGTGCTCGACAATTTACACCCAGCCTTTCTCCAAGACGAACAAGAAGGAAAAGCTTGCTGTTGGGGAGATCCTTGAGTGGGAGCTTACTATCCGGGATGGCGACACACTCATCAATGTCTCAGCTCCTGGTTTCCCAAGCTGGTACACCGTGGAATTGGACAACCACGCTGGCCTTCAGAGCAAGGTTCCAAGCAGCCGATTGCAGGCACTGCTGAACCATGAGGCACCAAGACCCTTAGAGTGGCCCCAATCCGGAGTGCTGCGGGAGAAACCCGGTAGCTCATCCCGCATTACCGTCAAGAATTGCAATCCTGATGGCATGGCGATGTTTGTCAAAATTTACAAAGCTACAGATACGGAGGCGGCTGGTCCTACCGCCGAAGCTGAGATCTTTTGCTGGCCCGGCGCGGCAGAAGCAGCCCAACTGCCTGCAGGCTATTACCACATACGGGTTGCTGCGGGATACCAATGGTTGGGTGAATTACGTGGCAAACGAGCTTCATGGTATGGCGATCGGTACTTGTTTGGACCTGCTGGGGTCTACCTGAAAGACAAACGACGTACAGATCTAGATGTGAACACGAACCTGACCCAAAGCATCTCGACGTATGGATCGGCATCGGGAAGTTTGGAAGAAGTTGGTCAAGATGAGTGGTAATAGCAGTGAGAGTGAGGCAGTCCTTTATCACACTACAGGATAATTTGCTATCGAAGTTGCTGCATTTCGGGTCGTTGTCTGGAAAAGCAGCTGCTTCAGGTAGTTGCCTTGCCTTGCCTTGCTATGTGGGTGTTCATGAAACTGCGCATGTACGCATTCGTGTAGTTCTATCTGTGCATGTGTGAACATTTATTGGTTTGTCCATACATGCATGCATACATCATTAGTTAGCTGCATACGTGCATGCACGGATAGTTATGATATGTTTTATAATAAATTGGCACAGTAGTGCAGCCCGGCAGTGTCAAGATTGCGGCACTGAAGAAGACCCGACCTCAAGCAGTTCCGTTTCCGTAGGTTCGCATGCCGGACTTGTAAATTGCACCTCTCGGCAAAGCTGATTGAGAAAAGAAGCACTGCCCGATCATGTTCCTCGTGTCTCCATTTGACGTTTGAAACCCGGATGGGCTTAGGCTTGGGTCTCAAGTAAGGCTAAAGGCCCAGGTGTTCAACTGTGTTTGCAGGGCTTCTGGTGCTTAATTAGTGGGCTTCTGGGAATTAAAGGCCCTAAACCCCAAGCCCCAAACCCTAAACCCTAAGCACTAAACCCAAAACCTTTTCGTCAACCCTCGAAGCCCCGAGGTTGGCTGAGTTTTGTTAATATTTTTTTATCTAGCCCTGCGCCCAAGCTATGGCCAAAAAGCCCGGAGTCCTGAGAATGGCATCGTGGACAAGGCTACTAAACTGTGGTTCGGGGCTTTCAGGCTTTGGGATTTAGGGCACCAGACGAGCCATGACGACCATGGCCCGACGGCCCTCATCACCACTACCATTATCGTCACCGCTGTCGTCATGAGCATCATTCTCGAGCGTATCAACAGTTTCCGATTATCACCAAATTTTCTAGGCCTGAGCTCAACACCCGGAGCCTCAGCGCCGGGCTGGGTCACAAGCAAAAGCCCCCAATGCTGAGATAGCTACCTGCAGTACAATTACAGTGTGATGAAGTGCAACGTGGAATTACATCCCGCGCGGCCCCCAGGTGACCGGGGGGTTGAGGCGTTTCCGCTTCAGTTCCTTTTTCAGGTCCAAGTACTCAAGTGCCTTCAAACTTAGGCTCCCAAGGATTACGCTTTCAGTGTTTGGCGCTCCTGGTCCATGTCAATTAGAGTTTAGGGGTTTAGGGTTTCGTTGCGCTTGTAAGTTCTAGCGATTGTTGTTTTCGGGCTCATAGAGGTTCACCCTAAGCCAGCAAAGGCAGTTTTTTTGTGAATCGTCGTCGGTGTCCGTCTAGGAAGCACCTCAATCCTCGAACACCCTCACCCTAACCCTCACCCTAAACTAAACCCCCGAAACCCTCTAAGCCACGTCCCACTCACTCAACCCAGACCCCACTTGAACCTGAGGTCAGGTGTCTAGACTAAACTGTACAGTGCATGTAGGCCTTGAGGTTGCTGCCGGGCTTCGTGGGTTTAGAGTGGCCGTGTGTGACATGTCCGACAGCAAAGCCGACAGATTTGCATCCCACGTTGCAGGGTTTACACACTAAATCCTAGAACTAAACTACTGAAAAATCGGACAACCTGAGACCCTTGACCCCACAAACAAAATAATTGCTTTAGGTGTCGGCAGGAGGCTCATAACACCGAAACTCTCTTTAAGAGCCTTCAGTGTTATCTTACCGCCTTAGATCCCGGCATCAACCCGAAGGCTAAACCCTAAGCCCTAAATCCTGTAGTTCCTAATCTGTAGCATGGAGGATACAGGGTTCTGGATTTGGGGTTTAGGGTTCAGGGTTTTGGGGTTCAGGGTTTCAAGGTTGAGGGCTTCAGGATAAGGGTTGCAGCTTTGGGGGTTTCCGGTTTTAGGGCTTCGGGCTTGGGATTTAGGGTTTAGGGTTTGGGGGTTTAGCGTTTAGGGGTTTAGGGTTCAGGGTTTAGGGTTTAGGGTTCATGCAGAGTTGCCCCGTCGTGGCCTTCTGTAGTTGTAAATCCTTTGTGATCCCATGGACCTTAGCATCCTTGGAACGGTTTAGCGTTTGGGGTTTGGTACTCTAGCCAGCCACCCTAAACTGGCCCTAAAACTCCCAACCTAGGCACAAACCCTATAAACCCCCGGATCCTATACACCCTGAACCTTTCACCCTTAAGTTCATAAGTCATGAAAGCAGAATCCCCACTCTTAGGCGCTTTGCATCACTTTCGCCGTGTCAGACGCCAATGGTAAGCGGCCGAAGGGAGTGCCGATCCCAGGATCTTCTGGTGAAGCTTTGCCCTAAGGGTCCAAAGGATCTAGTAATCCACGGTTTAAGGGTTTAGGGTTTAGGGGTCCGAAGGATCTAATGATCATATACTTGGGTTGCGGATAGTAGTTTTGTAGGTTAGTATTCAGAAGAGTATATGATTATTAGGTACTTGGACCCTTAGGGTTGGATATTTCAGCGTATGACATGTGGGCAGTTCAAAAAATTAGGGCCCCTTTTTAGGTCCCCAAAATAGTGCGGTTAAAAGGACCCCCAAAGGGACACTAATTATTTAGAGACCTACCCCCATGTGACTATTGGCGTAGAGGGCTTGCTCCTCAAACTAGCGTTTAGATCTGATGGTTTAGGGCCCAGGGGTTTACACTGAACCCCAAAACAAATACCCGCGAATTTTCACAGACCAGCTTGCAGAATGAGGCCGCTAGTAGAGTGTGGTGTTAGGATATCATACAGAGGCTCTCTTCGAAAAGCCGCTTGGGCTGTAGAGCCAAAGTATATACGATTTGAACACGGACCCTTAAACTTAAGCCCCAAACCTTTTATAAAACTCGAATATAGCGGTATGGATCCACGGACCATTCGGGTAAGGGCATCATCAGATCCAGTGTTGGTTGTCTTTGTGGGGCGCGCAGATCTGCGGTTTGGGATTCGGGGAGCTCTTTGATTTGTTGCTTAGGTTTTAGAGGTTTAGGTGCTAGGTGTTACAGTAGGTGGCTACGTTTCAGTTTAGGAGTTCAGGATTTGGGGTTTATTGTTTAGTGAGTGCTTTTCCTTTTGATTTGAGGTCGCATCTGCGATTAATTATCTCGGTGGATGTTGTGTTTTTTGTTTTTTCTTGCAGTTGTTTTTTTTTCGAGCCGGCCGTAATTCTTGGCTTTGCTTGAGCCTTGAGCAGCTGCCCCGTCAACAGCGATGGTAGGGGATCTCGGAGCACAAAGCACATTTAGGGTTTAGGGTTTTGGGTTTAGGGTTTACATCCCTGCCCAAAGGCAGCTCAGGATAAGCTCGGAATCCACTTCAAGCTCTTAAACCGCTACACCCCCGAAGCTAATCACCCCCCCATAAACCCGCATCAATACCCCATGACGCCCTATTTTTAGCCATGCCTCCCCGAAAGTCTTGCGGATGTCAATAGTCTGCAGAGGTCTCGTCATGGAGATAAGCTCCCCAAAACCCTACACCCCTAAACTCCTAAACCCAACAAAGGTATCGTCATGGAGGTTCAACTTCCATTTTGACTTCCACAAGGACTTCCTACACCAGGAGAGCCGTGGGGGCAGGGGAGGTTTGGTCGGGAGAGTTGTCCACGTCACAAAAAGCAAACAATGTTTCTGAAGCCTTAGAGCTCGTCTTAGAACGATATGCTACTGCTTTCCATATACATTTACATGCATATGTACTTATGTATATATGTATATGTATATATATATATATAATACCCCTCAAGAAGAAAAAACATATTCCACTAGTGCAGGCCCCTGTAAGGTTTGGGTTTTGGGCTTTACTACTGTAGCTGCCTCTGGGCTTATATCTTCGACCTCCTGGGTTTAGGGGTTTAGGGTTTAGGGCTTTAGTATTTAGGTTTTAGGGTTTAGGGGTTGAGGGGTTTAGGGGTTTAGGGTTTAGGGGTTTAGGGTTTAGGGGTTTAGGGATTTAGGGTTTAGGGGTTCATGGGTTAAGATTTCTGAGTACCTCAAAGCCACTCAGGATAGCCGAAAGCCTACCGGGCCATGCATCCGTACCTTTAAGGACCCTTGTGAGGCTAATTTCAGGGATTCTTTCAGGGTTCCATACGGATTTGAGGGTTCCTGTACCCAAATATCATGCACTTTGGAGTAGTCCCTAGCCAAGTTTACTGGTTAGGCAGATCTGATAAACTGGCATGGTTAGTTCCAGAAGCGTGTGGAATGTTGGTGACGACAGAGTTCACGCCCTAATGCCTAACACCATGGAACCTTGAAGTTCCAGTCAAGGACTCACACCCTAAATCCTTATAGCTTAAAGCTCTAATCCCTAGAGCCCTACAGCCTTACCGGGACCCCAAAAGTATGTAGAATGATAGCATTTGATAGTACTTAGGCCATTTGTTTAACTACTCTTGGGGATGTAGTGAAGACTCGAACCCTAACCCTAAACCCTAAACCCCTAAATCCCCAAACCCTAAACACCCAAGTCCTAGAGGCCTAGATCCTTCCCGAAATCCCAGGACTTCTTGGAGACGGTGTTCACGAATGCCCAGCTGGAGCAGCACCGGGTGCAGGCCTAGCCCTGCGCCTTTTGGAGTGTAGGGTTTAGGGACTGTTTTAGGGTTTAGGGTTCAGGGTCTAGGGGTACAGGGGTTCAGGGTTTAGAAGGGTTCAGGGTTTCGGGGTAAAGGGGTTCAGGGTTCAGGGTGCTAAATAAACAGAGACGAAACCCTAACACCCTAAAAGCGGACCATCGTAGAACCTGGCCCGAAAAAGGGGGCTTAAAGTCTAAGGCTGACGGGGGTTTATGTGCTCAGAGCAGCTGGAAGCTCTGGAGTTCAGGGTCCTCTTCTCCAAAAACGACTTCTGGGTTCTGGAGTACCATACTTGAATACTTTGTTTTATTGGACCTGTTCCTTAAAGGAAGCCATATGAAATACAAGTCCATACTTTTTTTCTCCCTGGTTACTTCAAACTCCAGGACTTGCACATGTGTCGGAAGCTCAATGAAACCGTTTGGAAGCATTCTTTTTCCTGGACCCCGAAGACTG